CCTGCGCTGCTCTGCAGCCTCCGCGCTCCTGCCCAGTGGTTCCGCGGCTTCCTGCGCGCGGCCCTGGCGGTCTCGGGCTCACCGCTCGCCGCTGCCTCCCGGACCTGCGGTGTCGGCTTGGCGCCCCTCGGGCTTTGCGGGTGCCCGCTTCCCCGTACACGCAGCGCGCGCGGCGGGCTCCCTTCGCGCAGACAGCCTGCCGTGTCCGAGATGCCAGCGGCGAGGAGAGGTGTGTCCCCCTCCCCCGAAGTTACGACCCCTTTTCCGCCGCCCGCGCTCAGCCCCGCCGGCGGAGGCCGGGGGCACACGGCCGCATGACACGTTCTGTCCTGGAAGAACTCCCTTCCAGAATCGCGCCCTTAGGTCCCGATTCGGTGGCACCCGCGCAGCTGGCACACCGCTCGCACCCATCCATTTCTGTTTTTTTTTTCCCGGAATTGCCGAAAGCTGGAAAAGCAGAAAGTGTGGACTCTGTTAGTGAAATGCGGCAGGCCTTCGTTTCAGGAGTGGAAACAACTGCAAAAACTTTAATCTTCCACCTGCTTTGGGGCCTCGAGCGACACTTAAGCCTCGAGCCCTTGTCCTCCTCCTTGAAGTGGGCGGAATATCTAGCTTGCATCGGGTTTGGGGATCAAGTGAGAATTTATACAAAGTGCACAGAGGACTTCTCTACCAGTCTATACTTTTGTGTAAACATAATCTATTTGTGATTATAGAAATAACAGTGGCCAAAACCACTGGTCGTCAAACTTTAGGCTGCAGGGAAACCACCTGGAGGGTTTGTTGCAACACATTGGGAACCCGGTCTCCCCAGTTTCTGACTCCTTAGGTCTGGAGTGTGGCGTGATCATTTGCGTTTCTAATGAGTTCCCAGGTGACACTGACCTGCAAAGCACTTTCAGACTCACTGGTCTAGAGCACAACACTGTTGGAATTTGAAAAAAAATGGAGATAATTTTAACTGTCATCCCCTAAGTGGAGGTGAAACCTCAGTGGTAAAAGCCGCGTGTTCTTGCGTTCCTTCCTTCAGGAGTTTCAGGTGGGGCATCTGGTCCATTCTTTGCTTGAGAAAAGGCGGGCTCCGCAGCGGTCACGTCTTTATGTTATGATGCTGAGCGTCTTCTCTGTGGAATGAGGGGGAGGAGGAGAGGAAGCTCTGCCACCAAAGCTGAGTTGACAGAGGACTAGGAAATGTGTTTTTATAGTAGTTGGATCTTTATTGATTCAACAGTATCAACAAGCAAAAGATGTAGGTCTTTGCATTTTTTTCAGGCCTGCCATAATTTAAAAACTTTTAGCCAGCCACTTAACATTATCCAGTAAAAGTGAATAGATGCTCATCAGCCAGTATATGGGTTAGTGCTATTTTCTCTGTTTCAGTCGCTTGAATAGGTGGCACCAGATGATCTTGCGTTTGAAGCCTGTTCCGCAGTTGTCTGCCAGGCTCGCTCAGCTGACGAAGGCAAGGTGCATATTTGTTCTTTTACGGGCGGCACAAACTGTTTGCAATACACAAGGGAGGTGTTGTTTGGCAGACAGGACTCTCCTCCAGGTTGGGCTCACTGGGGCATCCCCCAGGACCTTTTTGTCCTGAAACACTTTAATCCTGAATCCATTTTATTTTTCTTTGAGGCCTTTGGTAGCCTATTTCCTTTAGAATAAAACCATGGGAGCTAGTGAGTGAGGGTACTTCTGAATCTCATGCTGCGTTCCCACTGCTGTGAAAACTGCTGTTAATTTTTTCTTCCCAGATGCGGGCTGGGCTGTCGTTTTTGTGATCTTATTTTAACTCAGTGGTTCTCAGTTGGGGGTGGTTTTGCCCCCCAGGGAATATTTGGCAATGCCTGGAGACGTTTTTTGGTAGTCTTCCCCGAGGGGTGCTGCTGGCCTCTGGTAGATAGAGGCCACCCTGCCTTTGAACATCGTGCAGCTCCCAGGACACCTCCCTCGTCCCTCAGAGAAACACCTTCCGACCCCCAAACGCTGATAGCGCGGAAACTGAGAAGCCCGGCCAGCTTGCTGAAGACCAGATGGAGAAAGTGAAGAGTCGCGATTTGTGGAGGGCACCGATTATTTAAAGTCACCTGGTATCAGGCAATAGGCTGACAAGAATACAAGCCTAAATACGGTGACTTTGGCCGCTGCCGTGTGGCCCAGCCTGGACAGAAGTCGAAGTGCAGTATGTTTTTTGGCATGTCGAAGGTGTGCCGTCAGCGGACCAAACCAGGAGGAGACTGATGAGAAAGGTGTAAGAAAAAAAAACAAGTGAGGACCTGACCTGACACCCTCAACCACACCTCCTTCAATTCCCCAAACACGCAACCGACCAGCCAACGTGGAGAAATGAAAGCGGAGTTCACGGCCACCACAACTTTCCATTGAATCATGGCTCAGATGTCTAGACTGTTTGAAAAGTTGAAAACCTTTTCCCGCTGTTGGGTCCAGTTGACCGGAAAGCCTGTCGTTGGAGGCGACTCCTTCGGCGTTAGCACTTTCTGTCCACGCGTCTTCCAGCCTGCAGATACCTCTGAAAGGAAGAGTCACCAACATTTAGCGTGAATTTATCGTGGTTTCTTCCCCAAAAGCTGACCGGAGGACCGGAGTTGAGGGAGGGACGCTTTGAGGGTGGGCGTAAATCAGGAGCTGGTGAGGCGGCAGGTGTGGCTCGGGTACCAGGGAGCCTGCAGCAGGACAGGCAGATGCAGGAGGACGGGACTGAGCACCGGGGGGCCAGCTCCTCCCTGTGGCTGCAGGCCACTTCCACTCTCAGGGGCCCACTTTCCCGCACTTCCTCCTAGTCCTAGAAGAACCATCGTGTGACAGGAGCATCTTGGTGGAAGCAAGCTGTGGTGGCAGCGTGTGTGCTGCACACCCCCTTCTCTGGCCTGGATGTTTTGCCAGACGTCCGTGGGGATGCCTAAGACCGAGGATGGACTCTGTAGCAGTTAACTGGGCAAAGCTGGTCAGAAGGGAGAAGACGTCCCAGATAGCACACACAGCGTACGAGGGAGCATAGGAGATGCTGCTTTTGTATACCTTTCAGCATTAAATCTGTTCCAGATGCCCGTATTTAGGGGGAAATGAAAGTAGTTTGAAGTGTGATGAACCCTTGGGCTTCTCCCTGGAGATGGCTGCCCGCCGCCACACTCGTGTGCGCCCAGGCCCCAGCGGACGCTGAGACTCAGGCTGAGGGACCTGTCCCCTCCCGTGGAGCAAGGATGGGTCCTGGCCCGCCTGAAGCCCTGCTCCGTCCTACGGCACATATTCTATGCAACCACGATGGCAAAAACGTGGACTTGTGAATTTCAAAGGGATGCCCAGGCCTTCCAGTTCACCAATCTCATTTTATGGAAGAGGACATCAGGGTTCAGAAGAGTACCTGATTTGAGGTTCACCTGCTGATTTCCTCTTTGATCATCTGAAGGAGCTTCCTGCTCACCTGGCCCCCAGCCCGTTGCCAGGCGGAGGGACCGCCCTCTGGGTCCCCATTGTAGGGGCCTCCGTTTCAGAGTAGTGACAAACCAGCCCCTCCGGGCAGCTCTTCCTAGTTCACAGGCCGCCTCTGGCTGTGTTCCTGGGTGTTGGATAAAGCCACCTTGCTCTCTCTTCCTGGACGTAGATGCAACTATTGATTTAATGACAATGGATTCTCTCTCCTTACCTTTTTTGCGTAACATGGCAAGTGGGTCCCACTGATTTGCCTTAGTAAACATAATATTTACTGTGATGCCCTTTGTGTGCAGTGAACAAACGAAGTCGGAATCTAATAGCTCATTTAATCGTGGAAATCACGTAACCGGTCCAGCAATGGAAGGACAATTTGTGAGTCATAGATATTACCACACCTTAGGAGCCCTTAAAGACGAGCTGTGCCAAGTGACTTCAGCCTAGAAAAAGCAGTATCCCCCTGTGGCGTGCCCTGAGGGCGCACACTGTGTTTATAAAGTGGCCGTTGTGTAACTAAACTTTGACAGTGGTGTAGCAACCAGGATCTGAGTATTCTCCTTGTGATTTATAATGCTGCTTCAAATGGACGGCCATGTTACAGACGTAATAAGCAAAACAAGAACCATCCTTTATACATTATAATTATTAAATTGATTTTGTTCCTCTCCACCGATTCTGAGAAAGCACCGTCAGCGGTACCGACGAAGGCGATGAAAGGTCTCGCGTTATTCGAACCGCAGGACAGTGGCTGCACGTGTGCCGTGGCCTTTGCTTGTTTTTCCAGTTGCAGGGTTTGCGGAGGCCCCACACGCCCTGCCCGGGCCCCTTTGTCCTGCAGACACATCTGTAAGAAGGCGGGCCTGGGAAGAGTCTAGAGCCAGGCAGATCCGCATATTCGGGCGCAGACCTGAGGCTCCTCAGCACGGTCTGTCCACACGAGCATGTTTCGTTCCGTTTTGAGATGGAGCTTGTCATTTTCTGCACTCCGAAATCAGGTCGCCGGTCTTTCGTATGTTCTCAGTGCTCCTAATAGTTAATGCTCGGTCGTTTAGAAAATAATTCGCAACAGTTTCAACGTAGAATTTTCGTTGTACCGTTGGGGACTGCAGCTGTGGCCCCACGGCTGGCAGGGTCCCTGCCACAGCTGTTGCCGGCCGCGACTGTGTTCTCTTTTGCCTTCGCGCTCTCCGTCTGAGGCCACGTACAGCCGCGGGAACTCGGGCGAGGGCCGGAGGAAGGTGGTGACTCCCGGGGGACCTCGCCCACTAGTCTTCGAAGCCAGACTGGTCCCTTCTGAGTGCCCGTGGGTGTTTTTAGTGTGAGGGGATTTTGGAGGCAACAGCCAGCCACTATTCAGTGTTTAATTCATGTCCCTTCCCAGTTGTCCTCTGTCCCTCTTCCCGGCACAGGGCGACTTGAGTTGACCAGTGTATCCTTAATGCGT